AAATGGGAGGCTGGGAGGAGGCGGAAACTTTTTTTTCCTATTCTCAATAAAAAAAAAAAAAAAAGAAGAAGAAAAAATAGCCCTAAACAAAAGGAGATAAAATGTGGAACATATATTTTCCTACAAATATATGGATTAATTTAGAACACTAAAAACAAGAAAATCTATTCCAAGTCAAGTTTAATGGGTGTTTATAACCAATTTATCTATGAACAAAGAAATTTTCATTTCCACAAAGTTCTAACTTATTGAAAATTTATCAACAATATCCATAGGTTTTATGTGTTCCCTCTCTGTTTTACTTTTAGAATCTAAGGTGTTTGAAAAATTTCACACTTCATTAACCTTTATTCTGCTACTCAATTAATGTTAGTATTAAATACACATAAGCACACAAGTTTATATTCAGTGTCTGTTACTCAAATTATAATATTTTTAGTTTCTACTATAAATTGGTTTCATTCCATACTAAAAAATATTGGCATATGGTTAAATAAAATATTGAAAACATGTCATTTACCTAAATATATTCAATTAAAAGATTATAACCAATTGAAGTTTATATATATATATATATATAAACTTAAAATATAATATAAACATCTGCAAATATAATATAGTTGTATGTATTTGACAACCACCAATTAATATGTACATGTATTCCTACTATTATGTAAATCATTGATTCCTGTGAATTATAAATATACATGAAGAACTCATGAATCTGAATCTATTAACCTAGATGGCATCATTGGAGGACAGTGTGCTCCTGATTCTGAGTAATTAAAATACATGTAGACACGTCTTCCTTGTGAAATAGTAGGTTATGTGTATTTGATATAAAACAATTTTTTTTTTTTTTTTGGTTTTTCGAAACAGGGTTTCTCTGTATCTTTGGAGCCTGTCCTGGAACTCCCTTTGTAGACCAGGCTGGCCTCAAACTCAAGGAGATCTGCCTGCCTCTGCCTCCTAAGTGCTGGGATTAAAGGCGTGCGCCACCACCGTCAGGCTAAAATAATCTATATTTTGTATTTTATTCATTATCATTAGTTTTAGAGAAAAAGTCTAGATTAAGGCACAGTATAAATGAGTAATGTTCCTTGTTATGAAACTGTAAAACCAGTTTCTTGTACATTCATTATTCCAGACACCAATTTGTAGGTTTATTTGCCCATTTAAAGCAAGAGTATGGAGTATAACTATAATGCCACTAAATACCAGAGGCCAGAGTTTCAGATACCCTGAAGCTGAGAGTCACAGGTGGTTTTGACCCAGAGTGATGTGATTACTACTAGGAGCTGACTTATATTTCATGAGCTATTTCTCCAGCAACTACCCTCAGCTTTTAATTTAAATAACTTTTTTCATTTATTTTACATAACGAACAGTTTCCCCTCACTTTTCTCCTCCCACCTCCTTCCCTTTCCCATCTACCCCACCCCCCCATCCACTTCCCATTCATCTCCTTTGAGAAAGGGACATGCCTTCCATGAACTTGCACAAAGCATGGCACATTAAGTTGAGGCAGGACTGAGTGCCTACCCTTGAATAAAGGCTTGGAAAAGTAATCCAGCATGGGGAACAGGTTACCAAAAGCCAACTACGTGCCAGGAAGAGGTACTGCTCTCACTGTTTAAGCAGCCTCACTAATAGACCAAGCTATAAGATTGTTAGTTATACACATGCAGAGGGCCTAGGTTGGTCCTGTGCAAGCTTCCTCACTGTTAGCCCAGTGACCATGAGCTCCCGTGAGCTTAGGTACCCTCATTTTTTATGAGATGAGATATGAATATGTAAGTCTTTTCTTATACTTTCACTGTCCTCCCCTCATTCTCCCTAGTGTTGGGAACACAGTTGGAATCATGTTCAAGTTGATTTCTGTTTTTTTTTTGTTGTTGTTGTTGTTTTTTTTTTTTTTTTGAATTACAAACATCTTTGACTAGAATGAGACAGTATCTCAATGCAGTTTTGGTTTTCATTATAGAGATGACTAAATATGAAAACATATTCTTTAATTGTATAAGAAGTATTATGAACTTTCAAATAATTTTAATCAAATAATACTTAAAATTTGTTGAACTCAAGAGTAACACTGTGAAGCTCTACATAAGAGTTTTAGAACATTAAGAATGGGCTTGAAATCAAAATGGAGAAAGGGATTTATAATCCTAGATGCCATCCCTGAGATATACTTTACATTTTGAAAATTGCAAGACAATAATTCTTCCATCTATGAATTGTACTATATGTGCATGCTTCCATATATATGTTGTGTTTATAAATACGTATTCTTATGAGTTTACAAAGAATCAAGTTAAACACAGAGATTTGTTATCAGAGAACAGTTTTCAAGTAATGTTCACCTTTTTGATGTTCCCCAGAAATCCTTGGATCTTCTGATATGTAAATTTGAGACTCTTTGCTTATGATTTTGTATTAAAATAAATGATTTAATAGAGGGTGATTAGATAAACAACGTTTCAAATGACTGGCACCCCCTACATTCTTTACAAACTGAGTTCTAAAATTTTACTAACAAATCAAGCTGACTATGGCAGTTGATGTATGATTAAAGAAGGATCAAAATTTTAAACAATCAAACAGAATTTGTATTTATTTGCCTGCTAGCAAATGGGGATTGGTGTTTTTCCAAAAGCAGCTCTTAAATACACTACTCTATGGCAGAGGCACAAAAGTATGTCATTAGAGACATTATGGTAAAATAAATTTCCATAAACATGAGTTTGAGTTCATCCACTATCACACCACACTGGGGTTCTACTGGACACATTTTAAAAGAAGCAAGAACTCTATTATACATTCAGTGAAGAGCAAATATAATTATATCTTTGTATAAAAAGAACCATAAGCAGTGAAATTAGCTTGCCTTCTTTTTTTTTTTGGTTTGGTCAGACATGATGAATTTACTGGAATGGATTGTCACCATTATAATAATGATGGAATTTCTCTTAGGGAACTTTGTCAACATCTTCATAATTCTTGTGAATGCCAGTGACTGCATGAAGAGAAGAAAGGTCTCCTCCGCTGACAGAATCATAACTGCTCTTGCCGTCTCCAGAACTGGTATACTCTGGGCAATGTTAATGAACTGGCATTCAGCGGTGTTTACTACAGATATATACAGTGTACAGAAAAGAGTTTGGTGTCGCATTATCTGGGAGGTAAACAACCATTTTAGCAATTGGTTTGGGACTATACTCAGCATGTTTTATTTGTTCAAGATAGCCAATTTTTCCAACCCTCTATTTCTTCACCTAAAAAGAAAAACTGAAAAAGTTCTCCTCATAATATTTTTGGGGACCTTCCTATTTTTGGTTTCGTACGTTGGGATGATAAACATCAGCAAGATTGCTTGGGTGAGTGATTATGAAGGAAATGTGACTTTGAAGAACAAACCTTTGAAGGACATCACAGGCCTTGCAAACTTGCATCTCTTTGGCATGATAAATATCATACCACTTTGTATATCACTGACATGTGTTCTGCTCTTAATCTACTCCCTAGGCAAACATCTCAGGAATATGAAATACCATGGCAAAGGATGTCAAGATACCAGCACCACAGTCCACATAAAGGCCTTGAAAACTGTGGTCTCCTTTCTCTTGTTATATGCTACATACTCTTTCTGTGTGGTTATAGCAGGTTGGAGTTTATATAACACACGGGTCTTTTTATTTTCCATAACAATTGGTGCCGTCTACCCAACAGGTCATTCTTTTATCTTGATCTGGGGAAACCAGAAGTTGAAACAGGCCCTTCAGTTGTTTCTGAAGCAGGTGAGATGCTGACTTTAAAAAAAAAAAAGAAAGAAAGAAAGAAAAAAAGAACTCTCATGTCTATAGATAAATAACAGAGAAATGGTATCTTCAAGCTAAAAAGACCCAGTGGAAAGAGTGACTTTGTTCTCTCCACTACTATTTTCAGGAATATATGTTATTAAAAAATTTCTAAAACCATTCTCAGGAAAGTCTCTTCCCTAAACCTCCTAAATAAGATACATGGATACATTTTGGTGAGAACCATACAGACAAGAAAGATTGAAGAGAGCATTTCTTAAATCACTGATGCCTCACATACAACCTCGGTATAAAGAATATAGAAAAAAGTGAATAACTGTGAAGCCATGTGTATTATTCTTTTTATTCTCTGGTTTACTTACAATTGATAACAAGGGGATAATGTGATTCCACTACACTGTTCATTGCCATGATAAAAACTGAGTTCAGACTGTGATGCATGAATATTGAATTCTAAATTATAGAGCAAAAGTGCATATTTAAAAGAGTACTTATTCAAATTTTCTTATTCAGTTCATACAAAAGAGTAAAAAGAATTCTCATTTTTAGTATAGAGTAATCAAAAATTCTTATTATAAGATAAAAACAAGTAGAATAAAGTAATAACAAAATAAATTTAGTGAATATATACAGTGAGTTGTATGGATAAATGACATATTAATATGAATATATATAAAGTTTGAAAAGAGGTAATTTGTATAACAGTACTAAAAGATATTTCCTTAAAAAATCTTTAAATTTAAAAATGATGTGTTATGAAGTTAAAAGTACATCTTATTTATTTCAGGCTACTACTGCTTTTGTTTTTCTCATTTTATTTTATTTTATTTATTTATTTATCTATTTATCTATTTATTTATTTATTTTTGGTTTTTCGAGACAGGGTTTCTCTGTGGTTTTGGAGCCTGTCCTGGCACTAGCTCTTGTAGACCAGGCTGGTCTCGAACTCACAGAGATCTGCCTGCCTCTGCCTCCCGAGTGCTGGGATTAAAGGCGTGCGCCACCACCGCCCGGCTGTTTTTCTCAT